GAATTTTTTTTTTTGTTTCAAATGATGGCGTGTACCTCTGGTCCTAGCTGAATATTATCTGGGCATGATGGCATGCACCTGTGGTCCTGGCTACTCTGCAAAAGACAGTCTTGCTCTGTTACCCAGGCTGGGGTGCAGTGGTGCAATCTTGGCTCACTGCAACCTCTACCTCCTGAGTTCAAGCGATTCTCCTGCTTCAGCCTCCTGAGTAGCTGGGACTACAGGCTTTCACCACCATGACTGGCTCATTTTTGTATTTTTAGTAGAAATGGGATTTCATCATGTTGGCCAGGCTGCTCTCAAACACATGACCTCAAGTGGTCCGCCTGCCTTGGCCTCCCAAAGTGTTGGGATTACAGGCGTGAGCCTCGGCACCCAGCTGATCTGACTTGTTTTCTAACAGAATCTCTCTGGTTGTGGAGTACAGTACAGACTAGAGGGAGAAAGAAACAGAATAGGGCAGTTCCAAGGCTGATGCCAGGAATCCAAGTGAAAGATGGCAGAAGCTTGAACCAGCTTAGTGACTGGGATGGGGAAACTAAATTTGTGTAGGATACAGTAAATTCCTCTTCAAATAACCAATATGTCAGTATGTTCAGTCTCCCTGTTCTTTGCTCTCCATTTTAAAGTTTAACTCCCTCATTCATCCATGCTCCTGGTTTCAGTAAACAACCCCCTCCTAGCCTCTATCACCTGCTTTGTCCATAGTCATCTTTAGTCACCTGCTCTGTAACCATCCTTCCCAGGGGAAACAACTCACCCCGCCGCTCCGGAACATACTCCTGCTCTGTTTAAAATAGCCAATCAGAATTAGCTTAGACTGTGCAGTCCAATCCTAGCCAACAGGGGAGAGACACAGCAGTAGGGACTAGCTGTGTCAGGGATAAGACCCCCTTCCCCTCACTTGCCCACTGTGCTCTCGCCATTGCTCCATCCAGAAGCACCCTTCTATAGAAGTAAATTTGGCCTGCTAAGAAAATTTGTTTGAGTGCTATTTCTTTTGCAACACCAAAAACTTATTTCTAACATTTGGGTAAAAGCAGTAAGCGGATTTCATGAAACCTGTTGAAGAAGTAATGGGTGGTAAAAATCATAAAGGGGGTAGGCAAATAAATGATTGAAATTTGGTAGTGGGTCAGGAGCTTCTGCTCTGCAGGCAGCAGTTGTGTCTTCTTGGAGAAGTGGCTTCAACACGCAGCCACTGTCATCTGCAAAACGGGGATAATAATGGTACACACTGGCTGGGCCCAGTGGCTCTTGCCTGTAATTCCAGCACTTTGGGAGGCCCAGGCGGGTAGATCAGGAGGTTAGGGGATGGAGACTATCCTGACTAACATGGTGAAACCCCGTCTCTACTAAAAATACAAAAAATTAGCTGGGCGTGGTCATGTGCACTTGTAGTCCCAGCTACTCGGGAGGCTGAGGCAGGAGAATCGCTTGAACCCAGGAGGCGGAGGTTGCAGTGAGCCGAAATTGCACAACTACACACCAGCCTGGTGACAGAGCGAGACTCTGTCTCAAATAATAATAATAATGGTACATACTTCACAGAGTTGTTGACAAGTTGATATTTGACATTTTGGGCTGGATGATTTAAAAAAAAAAAAAAAAAGAGAAGGTGATGTAAAGGTTTCGGTACAGCATGTAGCACACAATAAACACTGAATAAATGTTATCTTAGAAGCCAGACTGCTAGGTTCCCATAACCATCTCAGCCATTCACTGTTGGCTGTGTCATCTTGGTCACATTAACCCTCGGTGCCTCAGTTTCCTCATCTGTGCAATAATGCACATTAATCGTTGATATCAACTGCATAGAGTTGGGTTGTGTAGATTAAACACATGAATACAAGTAAAGCATTTAGAATAATGTGGCCGGTAGCAAGCACTGCGTACGTGTTAACAATTATTAACAACGTATTTTGGCCATATTTCCCAGCCCCTCCCCTGGCCTAGCTTACCCCATTTTGCGGATGGGAAGTCTGGCTCACAGCAAGGTGGCCTCTTGGAGAACGACGTGCCCGCAGTGCCTATCGGTTCCCCGTTTGAGGCGCCGCGCCCCGCGCGCGCTCCCTGGCGGAACCTTTCAGCGATGCGCTCGCGTTGCCAGCCCGGCGCGCCTCACGCAGACGCGCCGGTTCTTGGGGCTACTTCCGGCAGCCCCGCCCCGCCCAGCCCCCGGGCGTCTCCATTTTGGTCTCGAGTGTAGATACTCCCAGAACCAGCCCAAGAGAGGAGCCGAGTTATAGCTACCACGGCCGCCGAGTCAGCTCACTGCACCACCCCTGCCCCCTTCTTTCCTCCAGACGCCGAAGTCGCGGGCGATCATGGCGGGCCTGGAGGTACTGTACGAAACGGCTGCGCCGGCCATCACCTGCAAGCAGGACGCGCTCATCTGCTTCTTGCATTGGGAAGTGGTGACACACGGCTACTACGGCTTAGGTGTCGGTGACCAGGTACGCCACGGTGCCGGCCAGGGTGGAGGAGGGAACCGTCTTCTGCCCAAACTCAGAGGACCGGAGGCCTGGTCCAGAGCGCTCGATTTCCCCGCCTAACCCAGTGCGGGGCCTGGGGCTCATGACAACGTTGGTAAAACCTGCGGGTCGGAGGTGCTTAACTGCCTCATCCCAACCCAGAGTCCCTCACAGCACAGCTGGCACAACATGGTTTGTAGACTCAAGGGCAGAAACTCGCTTCAATACAGCCTCGCAACCGCTCAGGTTAGGACTGTGTGTACCAAGCATTCCATAGAATGGAAAATAATCGAGATAGGGGTTTAGCTCCTTAGAGCACTCCTCACCCACCTGATGCCCTCTCAACTCCTTACCACCCAGCCTCGGGGTGAGGGGACTGACTCAGTACCGCCCTCATACCACACTGTTATGAGGCTCCAGCCAACATCTGGATCCAACCACAGGAGTGAGTTTTGACCTACTCAGCCCCAGGGCAGAGCCGCTTAGTATGGGCCCAGAGCGCTCACACACCCTTCACCCTTTACTAAAGGGCCCAGCGTAGTCCACTTGCTACTGCCATCCCCAACTCAAGCTCTGGGAAACAATCACCCCCAGGGTCGTACACACATACACCCTGGGTGTGAGGGTCATATAAGATTTTCTCCCCATAGCTGCCTCCACAGGGCCAGCCCCTCCTGCACTCCCGTCCCCAGGCTCTACCTCTTATAACTGGGGACATTGTTGTTCCCACAGAGTTCCAGGGCTGCTAGGCCCAACCAACTCACTAATTCTTTGCTCTAGCATTCTTCTGTCCTTCCTGTCTCTTCCCTGTGACCCTTATCCCCCACATCCACATCATCCTAGATATCTGCTCCCTGAGAGACCAGGGCCTGCCTCCATGCCTGCCCCTCACTGTTATATTCTCTCAGTCTCAGAACCAAAACCAGCCATGGGAAACAGACATCCCCACCTATTGCACCTTGTAATGAGATTTTACCCTTCCTCTCCTTTTTGACTGCCTCAGTTCTCTCATCATTTTTTCAGCTTCTCAAATAGAGTCTTAATTCTTCTCTCCTGACATAGCTTAAGGGACCGCTCTTCAAACTTGCTTTGTACATTCTGAGCACTCAGGCAGGTATCGCCCTTTCCCCCATCCCTCACTGCTGTCCCTATTCCTCTCTGTCTCTTAGAACTGAAGACCAAGACCACGATACCCCTTTCACACTTTACCCCCTTCAGCAAGAATCAGAGCATAAGAACTATCAGGGATTTCTGGCTCTTTTTTTCCCCAGACCTCATGTATCTCGCTGGGACCCCAGGTACACACTCAGGATCCCCATTCCCACCTCCACACTCACATACTTCATCTCTCAAACGGGCTCTAAGGCTGAAGATGAGGATGGAAAAGAACAGCCAGCCTTTCACACACACACACACCTGGAAGCAGGAACCATTTCATCTTCCCAAATGCATTTGTCCCTGGCCTTTCTCTGTGCTTCTCTTCATTCCACATACTTTACCTTTCAGCATTTCAGACCTTGGAACCAGGTAAAGACAGCAGCCCCTCTTTCAATGCATAGTTCCCCTAACAGAAATCTTGTCTCCCCACTTGCCTCACTCCAGCTTTTTAATCTTTAGCAGCTCTTCACTTGCCCCAGTCATTTTATTTCAACTTTTCCTAGATTCTTCAAATAAGCTGGTATGTGGATGGTGCAGGGAACAGCGGGGCTGAGAAGAGGAATAAGATTGATTTTTGACCTGGGAGCTCCTCCATTGACCCTTAGCTCCCTCTGCCCATTGCCCTGCCCTTCAGATGGAACAGCTCTGCTCTGCACTCTGGCCCCTGTCATGTACCTCACACCCCTTACATACTCCTAGCTAGCTACTTCTACTCTGCAACACTGTCAGAACCCTGTCCATCTCTGCTTGGAAAGACAAGGAACCAGTTCTGGTTCTCAAAACAGGTTCCTTGTCTTTCCAAGCAGAGGTGGTCAGGGTTCTGACAGACTCAGAACTGGATTTGGTTCTGAGACTGAGAGGGTGTGCCTGATGCCCTTCTCTTCTTGCTGTTCCACAAATAAATGTCAATCACTGTGGATCTGCTCCCACCATTCTTACTCTCACTCATCCTGTCTGGGTCACTTTGACAGTTTAGGGACATCAGTTCACATAAGTTGATACTTTTTTCTAGCTGGCTTGCCATACACTCAAGGCTTGCCATATCCCCTTGCCATACACTCAAGGCTTTAACATTTTCAGATGAAATATACAGGAAGAATACGATCTCATTTTAATACTGGTTTTTTAAAAAACAAAGGTCCTTGACCAACTCCCAAAGGTCCGTCTAATTTTTCTCTGTTCATGGTGCTATTTGTTGAGCTTCTGCAGGCCAGAGAAAGAGGCTGGCTTCAGACTTCTTTGGGGAGACCCAGGAGCCTGGGGAATGGGGTTTTTGTATGCAATTGCCACCTTTCCTCTATCTATCCCAGCACTAAATCTTGCATACCCCCAAAGGAATGGGTGTTTGGATTGCAAACTAGAGTGTGGTATATTTTTGCTTCTCTCTGCCTTTACTCCTTGATTGCCATTGGGGCTCAGGTTGCACTTGTCCTCCTGTCACTTCTGCTGAGTCTACTTTCATTCAGAGTGGAAGCTAGAGAGGCATCTTTCCTGTTAGTTTATTTAAAAGGAAGTTTAATTTTTCACCTGGGGCCAGCCAGCTCAGCTGCCTCAATGGTGTTTTCCAAGCTCAGAGGATATTTGTGTTGCCTCTCCAGCCACCTCCTGTTCCCACCCGTCTGTGGGTGATAAGAGGGAAAGGAAGGTCCCAAGAGTATATACTTGACTATACAAGTTGACAGTTAAATGGAAAGCTAGATTGCCTACTTTCTCTTAGGTTTTGCCTCCTCTGTTATAGGGGAATTGTGTACATAAAACTTCATTAGAAGAGCAATGCAGCCACTGACTTCAACAAAAATCCAATATTTGAATTTGGATTTCTTTCTTGAAGTTAGCACTGCTCCTCGTAAGAGCTTTACAATGTTGTCAGGTGATTTAGGTGGCAAGGGGATAGGTAAGGGATAACTTAGGTGGTCATCAACGTAAGTTAGAGAATTTTGTTTTCTGTTGTGGGAAATCTAAGGATTGTTATGAAAGAGAGCAAATGCCCAAAATGATCTGTTTGAGTTTCTCTGGGTGTGTTTTATCTGAGAGGCATTGGGGCAAACTCATGGCCATTAAAGAATGTTTCCAGTGCCAGGATTTTCCCTAAGAAGACAATTCTTGTAGGGCCAGTCTTGTGGACCTAGCTGGGAAAAGTCTTCTCTAGCCATAGCCTAGGCGACCAGGAGCTCTGAATTCTAGGCACAGCCCTGCATCTGACTTGCTGAGACTTTGGGCAGCTCTCAGCCCCTTTCAGGCCTTAGACGTTTCTTTTCTTGTTTTTGAGATGGAGTCTCACTGTCACTCAGGCTAGAGTACAGTGGTGAGATCTTGGCTCACTGCAACCTCCGCCTCCTGGGTTCGAGCGATTCTCCTGCCTCAGACTCCCCAGTAGGTGGGATTACAGGTGCCTGCCACCACGCCCAGCTAATTTCTTTTGTATTTTTAGTAGAGACAGGGTTTTACCCTGTTGGCCAGGTTGGTCTCGAACTTCTAATCTGAAGTGATCTGCCTGCCTCAGCCTCCCAAAGTACTGGATTACAGGCGTGAGCCACCATGCTCGGCCCCAGGCCTTCAATTTTCCATCAGAGGAAGTTAAACCGTGTGACTGTGTACTTAGGCTACTTTCCAGCTGTGGCTTTCTGGGACTCTTGATATTTGATGTCAGGGTTCACGGGGCAGTTGCATGCCATGTTCGGCCTGATATCACCAGGGTCTGTCCTATGTTTACTGGGGAACATCAGTTCCACTGCAGTTAGAGATATCAGCCTCACTTCACTTCAGGGACTCTGTTACTCTGAAAGCCAAAGGTAATGGGGTGGTGAGCACACCAAATTGTTTATATTCCAAGAGAGAACTCTGGTGGATTGAATACTGTACATGGAGGATAATATAAATTTAAAGGCCTTTGACAGAGCAAAGATGAGGCTGTCATCAAATTCCTGGCTTCCAAAGTAAACAAATCCACAACACTAAACACTAAACATATTCAGAAAATTTACCCAGTTTGGGGCGAGGGGATAGTTTCTCTTTCTCAGAAGAATGGTTTGATTAGTTTCACTTTGGTTTTTCCTCACTTTCATTTCTGTGCTTCAGGCCTGTGAATTTCATTGTCATCCAGCCAGGTTTTAAACCATGTCAGTTGTGACATCCTGAATTTTATTTGGGATCTCTTTCCACTAAGGATTTCTGAGCATCAGAGGTGACCAAAGAGGAGAGGCCAGCAGTTCTCAGTGTACGGTCTCCCCTTGTCCTGGGTATGTGAAGTTTTGCTTTGCTAGACCTTTGTCTTTTCCGTTTTCTTCGTCTCTGGTCCCACTCCCTCCTGCTGTATTCTAACAACGACAGATATTCCCAGTCCACCTGCCCCATGGTGAGCAATACAAATATACATCCATGAACAAAGATTACAGCATTTTTGTTGTGCTTTTTAAAATTTTTACATTAATGGTACTGGAGTATAAACCTCATTTTGGGGGAACATTTCTTAAATCATATTTTTTATTTTATATGTAATACCACAATTAAATCTGGCTTGTTCCTTCTGACTGCTATATAATATTCCACTGTAAGCACATTTTGCATTTTATCTCCACTTTGACTACCCTAGCCAAGACTGTAATGAAGATCCTTTGTTACGTACCCTGTGCACACGGTTTCTTCCGGGAGCAAGAATTTTGGATCATAGGATATCGGCTCACCTAATTGCACTAAAAACTTCCAGATTGCTCCCCAAAGGGGCTGTACAAATTTAAATGCTCAACAGCGGAGACTGGAGGTTCCCATTCTCCCCACACCTATACAGACATCTGGCAAAAAATAGAAAACTGGTAATAACAGAATTGTATAACTTAGTATCTCATTATTTCAGTTCTGCTCCTCTGATAGCTAATAAAATTGGGTAACTCTTTAGACACTGTTAGCTGCTGTTTTTCTTGTTCATATCTTTTGCCACTTTTTGGAGTTCCGATTGTTGCTGTTCATTTTCCAGGCATTCCCTTTATGTAAAGATTATTAATTTATTTTCTTTACAGCTATGGCAAATATCTCTTCCTAGCCTATGGCTGCCTGTTAACTTCATAGTGTCTCTGTTGAACAGAAGCTTTAAATTATGAACAATCTCAAAGGCAGCATTTTTTTTTCTTTTATGGATCTTGTTTAAGAAATCTTCCCCACCTAGAAATCACTATATTATTTTTCCTGTAGAAATAATTTGAGAACTATTTCTCAAACTTTAGTGTGAAAGGAAAGTCTTAGGATTTTTTAAAAAGAAATGAAAGGAAAACATTGCAACTCACAATAAAAGATGCATTTTACACCCACAGGCTAACAAGCATGAAAATGGCAAGCATTTTACCCCCACTAGGTTGGCAAGCAACAATAGCAATGTTGCCAACTACACGGAGCAACAGGAGCTCATACATTGTTAGTGGGAGTATAAATTAGTAACTCTTTAGAAAACAATTTGACTTTATCTTATAAATTAAAAGCTTTTCCTCCACGCATACTCTATAGAAATCACCTGTTGGGCTCAAGTGATTCTCCAAATCGCCTGCTGGGCTCAAGTAATCCTCCCACCTGAGCCTCCCAAATACTTGGATCTACAGGCATGTGCCACCATGCCCAGGTTTTTATTTTTTGTATAGATGAGGTCTTGCTGTGTTGCCCTGGCTCAAAATGTGTACCAGATGTGTACAAGAATGTTCATAGCAGCATTGTTTATAATAGCAAAACAAATAAACTGGAAATACTCCAAATCACCATCAACAAGTAGATGTATAAATTGCAGCATAGTCGTACAGAATGCTGTGTAGCGGTGAATGTGAATCAGCTGTAGTTAAATGCATTGACATGGATAAATTTCCAAAAACAATACTGAATAAAAAATGCAAATGACAGAAGTGATGCTGTTTATTTAAAATTCAAAAACATTTGAAATAATATATTTTTATCATTGCATGTGTAGTAATATAACTCTAAGTAAAGAAAGTTTTTAAGAGTGGTGGTTACCCTTGAAGGGGAAGGAGGGAGATTTATTGGAGTGTACTACCCAAGGCTTAGCAGTATTGCTGATGTTCTATTTCTTAAGCTGGTGGTAGTGACATTTTATAATTCTTTGTTATCTTTTACATGTACTATATTTTGTGTGTTATGAAATTATTTATAATTTTTGTACATGACTGCAGTCAGTTGGGGCGTATTAGGATCTGTGTTTTTAGGCAACACTTTGGTGATCCTATTGCAGTTAGCCTAAGGTCCAAACTTTGAAAAACACCACTTACAACTTCTCAGTGCTCCTTGAGATGACTGGTTTTATTCTTAGCAGAGAGATGGGGAAGAGATAATTATTAAACCAATGCTGCAGATTCTTGACAGGCTCCAGGGCTATGTCAGAAAGGTAGCTCGATATGAGGGAGAGAACAATAGAACAGGAACCAAGAGACCTAGACCCTAGGCCTGTCACTTGCTGTAGGATCTTGGGCAAGTCATTTCTCTTGACCTCCACATTTTCATCTGTGAAGCAAGAAGGTAAAATTAGCTTATCTTATGAGGTTCTTTATAGCTCTGTGTTTTGAAGTCTTGATCTTTCTCCTCCCAACTGTGGTGTCTTCTCAGCCGGGTCCCAATGATAAGAAGTCAGAACTGCTGCCAGCTGGGTGGAACAACAATAAGGACCTGTATGTTCTCCGGTATGAGTCTAAGGATGGGTCCAGGAAGCTCCTTGTGAAAGCTGTCACCGTGGAGAGCAGCATGATCCTCAATGTGCTGGTGAGTCTCTGAGACGTGAGTGCTGATGAGATGGGAATAGGAATGGCTCTTTTGAAACCCATTTAACAGTACAGATCCAGAGCTTCAATGTTCATGTAGCCTTTACCCAGTGATCCCACTTCTGGAACTTTATCTTAAGGTGAGAACCCTAAGTATAGAACACCTTTGTGCACAAAGGTGTTTGCCACCTGGTATTAAGAAGGAGGAGCTTTCTGTCAACAGGGGAATATTAAATAAGGTAAATCTATTCAGTGACAAGATGGAAGGAAAAAACTTAGGTAACCCTATTGGGCTACTCCAGTTCCTTAAATAAGTTGAGTTCTTCGCTGCCTTGGAGCCCTTGCACTTCACATTTCCTGTGCTGGAAGGCTCTTCCCCTCCACCACCTGCTCCCTCACACAGCTCTCCACCATTCCTTCAACCTGGACAATTCTCTTTCATTTTTCACTTCCTCAAGAATTTCAGTCCTGACTGCCCACTCCTGCTAAAAAAATATATATAAATTATGACTCTTTACTCCATCATTTTATTTTCCTACCTGAAACTTACTGCAGCTTGTGATTGTGTACTTATTTGTGCTTCGCTTTTATTCTGCATGGGACTGTAAGTACCACGAGGGTAGTGACTTTCTTTTTGTTAACTTTTGTCTTAGTGGTTTGTGTGTGACCATGTAAAAGTATCCCGCTCTGTGTATTATGCTGCACTTTTCTTTTTTTCACTCGATGATTTGGAGGTCTTGACATGGAACTACATATAGATACACCTTATTTGTTTTAACTACTATGCAGTATCCCATAGCACCGTAATTTCTTTATTCCTTTCCCTTTTGATGAACATTTAGATCTTGTGTCAGATAGGCTTCTTGGTTTCAAACAACAAAAACCTCTTGGGTTAGTTTAAGCAAAAAGGGTTTATTACAAGAACCAGGATCACCCAGGTGCAGTGGCTCATGCCTGTAATCCCAACACTTTGGGAGGCCAAGGCAGGTGGATCACTGGAGACCAGCCTGGCCAACATGGCGAAACCCCGCCTCTACTAAAAATACCAAAAAAATTAGCCAGGTATGGTGGTGGGTGCCTGTAATCCCAGCTACTTGGGAGGCTGAGGTAGGAGAATCTCTTGAATCCAGGAGGCAGAAGTTGCTTTGAGCTGAGATTGCACCACTGAACTCCATCCTGGGTGATAGAGCAAGCCTCTGTCTCAAAACAAAACAAAACAATAAGAACCAGGATAGCTCATTAAAACAGGTTTAAGGCTGGATTTCCAGAGGCAGTGTCCCAAGTCATGCCACGTAAACCAATGCTACCACCACCACTGTCAAGTATTAGGTACTGGCTGATTCTGTCTGCCCTGGTGCAACCTTAAGCTGCTGATGTGATCCCCTGGTCTCTGCTGCAATCCTCATTAGCAAGATATCTGCCCCTTGCTGGGTCCGCTTCTCCATGTTGCTCACTTGCAGCTCAAAGTTGATGCATCAGCTCGACACCTCGATTGCCATGCCTGAGCCCTTTTGCAAAATAGCCTGAGAAGTAGCCTCTGCCTTGGAAAGACAATATTCCTAAATCAGAGATGTCTCCAAGCCTTAGGAAGGTATTTCATATAAACAGTCCTTATATATGTCTCTGTAGACATATGTGAATATTTCTTTAGGTTGAAGACTTTGTTACTTTCCCTCCACTCCCCCTACTCTTAGCCTGGAAATATTCCAGTCTCTCATTTTCTATTTTCACTCATCTAGGAATATGGCTCACAGCAAGTGGCAGACTTGACCCTGAAGTTGGATGATTATATCGATGCAGAACACCTAGGTGACTTCCACAGGTACTTACTTCTAAATGATGTCTCTTCCCTGGGAAAAAAAGAAAGAACCAATGGCAAGATATAAGGAATAGGGTGGATGTGTCCAGAAAATTAAGGAAGGTGAACGGAAGAACCTTTTACTTCTAGGCACAACTTCTTAATTTTCTTTTCTGTTTTTAATGTATTTGAAGAGGAGACTCACATAGGAAATGCCACATGAAATAAAATGATGGAATCAGGAGTCTACAAGTGCTGTGGTAACTGCAGAGTAAAGATGGACCAGGCCAACTAGTTCAGTCAGAGCAGCTCCTGGAAGGAAGTGTGCCTCATCAGGCCCCCAACCCCAATCTCCAACTTTTTTTAAAAAATGAACATTGGGAGGCCGAAGCAGGCAGCCCATGACGTCAGATCAAGACCATCCTGGCCAACGTAGTGAAACCCTGTCTCTACTAAAATACAGAAAAGTAGCCAGGTATGATGGCTTGTACCTGTAGTCCTAACTACTCAGGAGGCTGAGGCAGGAGAATCGCTTGAACCCGGGAGGCAGAGGTTGCAGTGAGCTGAGATCACTCCACTGGACTCCAGCCTGGTGACAGAGCAAGTCTCCATCTCAAAACTAAAAAATAATTTAAAAAAAAAACATTATTTTCTTAGGTCCATTTTAGGTACAAGCAAAATTGAGCAGAAAGTGCAGAGCATTCCCATATTTCCTCCTGATCCCATATACCCACAGCTTCCCTGTGTCAGTATCCCATAATGATACATTTATTACAACTGCTGAGTGTACATTGACACATCATTATCACCCAAAGTCTATCATCTATATTAGGGCTTAAGCTTGGTGGTGTGCAGTCTGTGGGTTTTGACAAATGTATAAGAGTGTGTGTCTACCATTATAATGTCACACAAATTAGACTACCCTAAAAATCCGTGCTCCTCCTATTCACCACTCCTTTTTCCCTAACTCCTGGCAACCCCTGATCTTTTTACTGTCTCTACAATTTTGCCTTTTCTAGAGTGTCATATATTTGGCATGGAGTAGTATGATCCTAGGCCTTTTCAGCAGATAGCTAGGAAACTATTTTCTTTACCTTGTGAGTTTAAACTGACACCTCCATTTTTAATATAACACTACAGGATTCTTTTCTCGTATTCCATCCTTGTATCTCCCTTCTCCTGTGGTGAGAGCCCTGATTCCCAATAGCATCAATGTATTTACTCATTTACGTAATCCTAGAATACACACCAGTATTTTCTGAACTGCTGCATTAGTCCCTACCAAGAACAAATCTACTAAGTAAAGTTCCCAATGATTTCTTTCCAGTTCTTTCTGTCTTTTAACTGTGTTTCACTAAAGATGTAGGCGGATGGAACTGTGTTCCACTAAAGATTGTCTTCCAGGTACTTAGATTAGTGCTTGTTTTTTAAATCAGTATAATGAAATTATCTGTTTTATATGTAGTTAGGCTGATTTGTGTCTGCTTTATTCCATTTTAGGGACTTTCCTCCCATCTTCATTGACCTCCTCAGGGTTTTATTTTTTAATTTTATTTTTTTGAGACAGAGTCTAGCTCTGTCACCAAAGCTGGAGTGCAGTGTGGAGATTCAAGCAATTCTCCTGCCTCAGATTCCTGAGTAGCTGAGATTACAAGCATGCACCACCACCTCTGGCTAGTTTTTGCATTTCTAGTAGAGACGAGGTTTTGCTGTTGGCCAGGTTGGTCTCAAACTCCTGACCTCAAGTGATCCACCCACTCAAGTGATCCTGCCAAAGTGTTGGCATGAGCCACCACGCCCGGCCATCCTCAGGGTTTTAGAGTAAGCTTGACATCACTATAAATGCACAGTTATCAAACCTTAACCGAACCTCAGAACTACCCAGAAACCCTGTTACGTATAATAGCATCTAATCAGCACTACCCTCTTTGAACCTATTCCAGTCCTCACAGACTTTGAAACCACCAGCCTCCATATTCTGGCTACTCCTCCCCTCTTCCATGCAGCGTCTATGTGAGGAGATCTTTTACATATTCCCCTCCTGCTTGCCACTCTCCAGTGCATTTCCCACATAGCAGTCGGACTAATCTTTTTAAAACATAGATCAGATCATAGTTACAACTCTGGCTTAAAACCCTTCAGTGATACCACTTCACACCTATTAGAATGAGCACTATCAAAATAACCAGAAAATAAACAAGCATTGGCAAGGATGTGGAGAAATTGGAACGCTTGTGCACATTGGGAATGTAAAATGGTGCAGCCACTATGGAAAACAATATAACAATTTCTCAAAAAAATTACTATGTAATACTGCATGTCCACTTCCGAGAATATCCCCAGAAGAACTGAAAGTAGGTCTTCAAGAGATATTTGTACACCTGTGTTCATAGATGCGTTATTCACAGTAGCCAAAAGGTGAAAGCAATCTAACTGTCCATTGACAGATTAATGGATAAAAAAATGTGTTATGTAAATACAGCAAGATATTCAGCTTTTAAAAGGAAGGAAATTCTGGCCCATGCTACAACATGGACGAACCTTGAGGACATTATGCTAAATGAAATCAGCCATTCACAAAAGGACAAATTCTGTATGATTTTATAAGAAGTACCTAGATTAGTCAAATTATAGAGACAGAAAGTAGATGGTGGTTGCCAGATACTGGGGCAAGAGGGGAATGGGGAGGGGAGTTAGTGATTAATGGGTACAGAATTTGTTTTGCAAAATGAAAAGAGATCTGGAGATGGATGGTAGGTGATTGCATAACAGCGTTAATGTGCTTAACACTACCGGACACTTAAAAATGGTTAAGATGGTAAATTTTATGCATATTTTATCACAGTTAAAAGTCTTCAGGGAATGTTCACTGCTCCTAGGATAAAGAACACAATCCTTGATGAGGCCTGAAAGCCTGGCACTCACCCCTTCCATCTCATCTAGTACTGCCTTCCCCCATCACTGTGCTTCAGTCACAGTGTCATTCTTCTGCCCTCTCCAGACCTTTTTCCTCTGCCCAGAGTGTCCTCCCTAATCTCACGTAGCCAACTCCTATTTATCTTTTGGTTACCAGTTTGAATGTCAGTTCCTCAGAGAAGCTTCCTCTGGCCGCTATGCTTGAAGCTTCAAGACATTTTACTATTTTCTTTGGAGACAGATTTCCCTCTGTTGCCCAGGCAGGCTGGAGTATAGTGGCACAATCAGCTCATTGCAGCTTCCGCCTGCTGGGCTCAAGTGATCCTCCCACCTGAGCCTCCCAAATACTTGGATCTACAGGCATGTGCCACCATGCCCAGACAGGTTTTTATTTTTTGTATAGATGAGGTCTTGCTGTGTTGCCCTGGCTCAAAACGTCATTTTTTAAGCATTTAATCAATCCGTATATTTTATGATTACCTCCTTAAAGTTGGTCTTCTGTCCTTGCCTGTGATCTCCTTGAGGGCAGGGCTTGGGTCTCTTTTGCATACAGAAGACAAAGGGTGGAAAGGGGGAAATGAGTCAGGCCTGGCCAGCAGAATGCTGTTCCTCTGGGTATTGCACATACCCTGACACCCCGGCCCCTCTCGGTGGGTAAGGGAGGAACATTTAGAGTGTTGTCTCTTGACTTCTTCACTCTGGAATTCCATTGGGAGAGAAATTGACAAAACCCATGGAAGAATCTAGGAATTATATTGGCCATTCATGCTCATTAGAGCATTCATTCTGCTCAGCAATACTGAGAGATAAATGTGATCCTGTCTCTATTTGTTTTTTAAGTACTTTTGTTTGAGAGATTTGTGTGTGAGGGAGAGGATGTGTGTTGTGTTTTGTTTTTTGATTACTATGAAATGAGGGACACAATAGTACTACCTCAGTGTTTTTCTGAGAATGAAATGAAATGTCAGCACATAATCCAGCTCTTAGTAAAATACACAAAGGAGAAAAAAATCTGATCAGGAACTATCTCCATGGAAACTGAGGCAGTGAAAGCTAAGGTATGGCTCTGCCTCCTGATCAGAGGCCCTCTCTCCCTCCTGTGCCTTTCAGCCGTAGCTTCCTCCACCTAGCCCTCTTTGTTAGGTCATCGTGGCATGTCTTGCCTCTTCTAGGAATTTGTGCTCCTCAGTGAGCAAACTGGTTGGCTAAGAAAGATACACCTATTGTGCTCCATTCTGCTGAACTCTTTCTTTGAGATGAGATGATAGGCCGTCTTTTGCCACAACCAAAATGGTGGTTGTTCTGCCAAGGCTTAGGAATTATGTGAGAACTTCTCCTTCAGGACATGGTGGTTTTTTTAATCAGGCCTGAATTTTACACATGCCTAGGGAGATCAGAGGTCTCCCTCTGATCTGATTTAAAGGAAAGAGGAGTTGGATTTACCCAGCCTGGGCAGGCAAGCAGTAGGCTCCCCAAGGTTCTGTGTTCTTAGTAGGAATATGATCTGTGTAGGATTTAGGTCAAGACTCATTTTTTTACCCATGGATGTCCAATTGCTCCAGCATCATTTGCTATTCCTTCATTGAATTACTTTTGAAACTTTGTCAAAAATCAGTTGTCTGTTCATCTGTGGTTCTATCTCTGGATTCTCTATTCTTTTCCATTGATCTCTATGTCTCTTCCTCTGTCAGTATTAATCTACCAGTATTGATTATTGTAGGCCTTAATATTGAGTAGAATAATTCCTCCCACTTTTTCTTCATCAAAATAATTTTAGCTATGCTAGTTTCTGTGCCTTTTCATATAAACTTTAGAGTGCGCTTGTCTATATTCATGAAAAACCTTGCTAGGATTTTGATAGGAGTTGCATTAAACCTATAGATTAGTTTGGGGAGAATTGACATTCTTGCTATGAACATGGTGTATCTTATCTCTCCATTTATTAAGATTTATGTTTGATTTCCATCAGTGTCATTTATAATTTTCAACATATAGATCCTGTACATATTTTGTTATTTGTTTAAAGCAGAAAGGGAGATGATTATAAGTGGCATTCTGTCCTTTGTTTTGGTTTTCAAATGTGCATTGTTAGTATATAGAAATGCAGTTGATATTCCTGTGTTGAACTTGTATCTTGTCACCTTGCTGAATTCAAGGTGTTCTAGGATTTTTTTTTTTTTTTTTTGTAGATTCCTTGGGAATTTCAGGGCAGACTATCATGTCATTTGCAAGCAGGGACAGTCTTATTATTTACTTGCTAATATGTATGCCTTTTCTTTTTCTTCCTTTATTGCAGTGGTCACAATGTCCAATATTAAATAAGAGTAACGAGAAAGAACATTATTCCCTTGTTCCCAATCTTAGGGGCAAAGTATTCAGACTTTTACCATAAAGTATATTGTTAGGGGTAGGTTTTTCTTTATCAGGTTAAAGAAGTTCCCCTTTATTCTTAATCTGTGGAGAGTTTTAAATCTCAAATGGATTTATCATGTGGGATTTTGTCAGTTGCTTTTTTCTGTATCAATTGATATGACCATATGATTTTTCTTCCATGGCTTATTGATATGGTAGATTACATTGATTGATTTGTGAGTATTAACCAGCTTTGTATGCCTAGAACAAATCATACTTGGTCATGGTATATAATTCTTTTTATACATTTTTAAATTCAATTTGCTAATATTTTGTTGAGAATTTTTTGTGTGCATAAGTTCTAAGATATAGTTTGTATTTTTATTTTATTTTATTTTTTTGGTATGGTCTTTGCCTGGTTTGGATACCAGAGTAATACTGGTTTCATGAAATGAACTGGAAAGTATTCCCTCCTCACATATTTTCTAGAAGTGACTGTAAAATTGATGTTAATTCTTCTTTAAATGTTTGGTAGAATTCTCCACTGAAATTATTTGAGCCTGGAGATTTTTTTTTTTTTTTTTGGAATGTTAATGTAATTCAGTTTCTTTAATGAAATTATTCAGATTATCTATTTCATTTTGGCTGAGTTGTAGTTTGTGATTTTTAAGAATTGGTCTATTCTGAGTTGTTAGATTAAGTCATTCTTATTATTCTGTTGTCCTTTCAGTGGCTACAGATACAGATCTATTGTAATATCGCCTGTTTCATTCTTGTTACTGGTGACTTGTGTCTTCTCTCCTTTTATGTTTGTCAGTCTTACTAGAAGTTGGTCAATTTTATTCATTTTTTTTGAAGAATCAACCTATTGTTTCATTAATTTTTTCTATTGTCTTTCTTTTCTATTTTATTGACTTCTGTTTTTACCGTTATTACTTCTGCTTGCTTTGGGTTTAATTTGCTCTTCTTTTTCTAGGTTCTTGAGGTCAGAATTTTGGTTATTGATTTGAGTTCCTTCCTCTTTTTTGATGTAAGCATTTAGTACTATGAAGTTTCCTCTCAGCAATGATTTAGTTATATCCTACATATTTTCATATGTTTTTATTTTCATTTTAATTCAGTGCTCTGTTTCTTTTTTAGGACTTTGATCCAAGGATCATCTAGAAGTATGTTGCTTAATTTCCGTGTATTTAGAGAATTAACTTTTTGCTCTGATTTCTGTTATGATTCCACCATATGGTTGGAGAACATACTGTATGATTTCCGTGATTTTACATTTGTGAGCTTTGCTTTATGGGCCAGGATGTGGTTCATTTAAAAATACCAGTGTTGTTAGGAATCCTGGAGTCCTGCCCACTCTGTTACCTCAGCCTGCCTCCACACCTCAGCTGTGGCTCATGTCACTTGTCTCTTACAGGCAGAGAAAAAGAGGCCCAGGCAGGATGGGACAGGTGTTAGGAGCAACCTTCCTAGGACTCCTGAGTTAGTGACATAACTGGACCTTGAACCCCCAGAGCTCTGCCTGCCTGGCCCAGGAACTTGGTTCATACTCCCCATGGAGCCTTTGCCTTCCATGACCCTTCCGATGACACATGATGAACACACAATGAAGCTGAGGGAGGGGTGAGGCAGGTGAGGACAGAGGAGTAGCCAGTTCAGGCCCTGTGCCCCTACACCCTCACCTCTTTCTAATGGGGTGGTAAACGAGGAGGGGCAACTCAGATGCCTAAGAAGCTTAGGCCCAAATCTCAGAGACAGCGTGGGGCTGTTGCCCCCCTCACCCAGGTCCGCCGGGCGGCCTGTTCCCCCACTTGTAAACAGGCCAAGCGCAACGCCAGGAGCTATCAGGGTGGCCGCCGCCGTCGTTGCAGCCAGAATACCACTTCCAGGGTTGCCAGCCAACTGCAAGCAGTTGACTCTTCATCTTGTTCTTGCAGGACCTACAAGAACAGTGAGGAGCTTCGGTCTCGTATTGTGTCTGGAATCATCACACCTATCCATGAGCAGTGGGAGAAGGCTAGTGTAAGCAGTCCCCACCGAGAGTTCCCCCCTGCTACCGCCAGAGAGGTGGACCCACTCCGGATTCCTCCACATCACCCACACACCAGCCGGCAGCCTCCCTGGTAAGTACAGAGCATCCTGCGGGAAGCCTATGCTTCTGCAGAGGAATTCCAGCCAGCTATCCCTATCTGCCGCTTGACCTCATCCCTGGCTCATGTGTGTTTTCAACAAAATGATCAATGTCTTGGGGTGCATGGAGTTAGAAAGCAGAGACATAAGTGGAGTATGAGTTCTTGCACTGCTACTAGTCACCCTAATTACCCAACATCTTAAGGCTGCCTGACTCCTTTCTAGAGGGCACACAGAGCCCCTGAGTATACCTAAGGATCAGTGCCTCTGAGGCTAATGTGCAGTAGTCTAGGGTCACTGCCCAGGTAATTCACAGCTAATTCATTCCAGAGCTCTTTGTCTAGATAGGGCCCTGGGCCAGTCTTTTTGAGAAAATGCAAAGATGCAGAGGTACTAGCCCAGAGGAGATGCAGTCCCAGTGTCTTGCTCATTTCATTTCATTTCATTTCATTTCATTTCATTTCATTTCATTTCATTATCTCATGTCATTTCATTTCAGTCCTCCAACCTCTCTATCAACTTCAGGAGTTTTCCAAAGTAGCATGGGTTGTGAGTGAGTCACATCCAAGGTTTTTGCAGACCAGGATGGCACCGTTACGACTGGAGACTTCTGCTCTGAGGGAGGAGACAAGGACCAGGGGACCCTAGTCTCTAGCTGAGATAGCACTTACCAATTTGGAGCCTATACTGTGATACCATACTGTTGGTAGGGATAAGGGACAGAGTTTACTGTGAGGGACATAAATAAGCACTTAATACATGTAGACTACCATCATTATTTTATTCTGGTTTGCAATAACATGCCTTTAGTTAGCTAAAAATTGGAAATCAGTTTAATTATTACAATTAATGATTGGCGTATCTCTTTGTCAAAATCTTTACCAAAAATATTGAGTCTTGTGGAGAGAATGGAGAATAATAAAAAGTGGTTGAAAAGGTTGGAAATGGTTTGTCCGATCTATCTTGTTTTATCAAAGGAATAGAGATGAGATGACCTGCCTAAGGACACCTGCCACTAATAAAGAGCCAGAGCCAGGACATAGTCTAGGTGTCCTCACTTCTGCACAGTGCTCTGGCTGTGATGTAACCAGATGTGCTCTAACCACCTTTCTATGATGGAGAGATTTAATAAGCAGCCCTGGTCAGAAGCCAAGTTGGGAAAACATTTTAGACTTGAAGTAAATAGTAATTCTCAGCTTTGTCAGACCCAATGCCCATTTCAAAACAAATATTCTGTGAAATATCCTTTACTATATTGAAATGGAATTCATAGGTAATCTAACTTACCTCATGCACATTTCAGGGGAAATCAGTAAGAAGTCCTAACTGTAACATAATTAGAAAAAGAGAGTAATAAGATGATGATGTGTATTCCATGTGTAGGTGCCTGAGTACATGGGAGAACATAGATGTTTACACCTGTGTGTGGAATTATCTTGAATTCAACAATGACAAAAGCTGTTGTATAAAGATGTATTATATCAACAACTCAAATATGCAAAACTCTGTTGCTATTACTAACATGACTTTTTTGAAATGGTAAACAGCTATTAGGAGAATTGCAAACAAAATAGTGGTTGGATATTATTTCTTCAAGTAAACCATAGTAACATTCCTGGAAAAATGTGCTTGTTTTAAAGTAGTAGGGAAAAAAAAATATTTTGTGTTCATATATAAAATGGCCTTATGTTCAGGTAATTTATTTAGGCTTTACACCTCCATGAATATCTAACAAGACACTTGAAAATTGTGTGGGATGCAGGTCATTCTTCATTTTGTGAAACTCTACCATGAATTGTAGAACATCCAGCATCTTTGGTCCCTACCTGTAAATGCCAATAAGGCCCTCCAACTACTATGACAAGCAAAAATGTCCACAGGGCTTGCACTATGGCACCTGGAGGCTGTGTCAGCCTATTTGGGAATCATAGACCTAGAGTATAGAATTGTGAAAGTAAAAATCCTAGCCTTGGAAGAACTGAAAGAATTAGAAAATCACTATGTTGCAACTTCTGCTGAAATAATGTACCTAGTCACAAATTGTAAATGGTTGATAAAACTATTAAGTAAAGGTTGATATGGGACTTTATAACAGGTGGATCTGGCCTGAACCCATTGATTAATTTTAACGCTAAAAGTAGCATAATCAGACACTGTTTTCTAATATTATGCAACAGTAAGTTCACAGCAACCTCAATCTAGATCTAACTCCCAGTCTAAAAGTGTGAAGAACAGAAGAATGAGTTAAACAGACACATGAGGATATAGCAGCCAAAACTGGAATATGAAAAAATTTTATAGGATAAATTAATCGCATGGGGAGAAAAGGGAGAAGGAGGCTGTTATGGAAACAGTCATGCCAACTGAAATGCAGTATTGGACCTTGTTTGGATCTTGATTCAAACTAATTTTTAAAAAATATTTTTTAACATTTGGGGACTAGGTATTAGACATTCTAAACATTTGAGCATGGACTAGGTATTAGATAACATTAGGAATTACTGCTAATTTTGTTAGGTGAAATAATTCTGCTTATGTTAAAAAAAGAAGTCTTTATCTGTTAGAGAGATACATTGAAGTATTTAAAGGTGAAATGATATGTGTGGTATTTACTTTAAAATAATTTCAGTCCCCCCAAAAGAGTAAAGTGTTAGGGAGGTGAAGTGTAAGTAAAATAAGAATGGTAGACTATTGATAATTATTGAAGTTAGGCGGAAATACACACAGCAACTCATACCATTTTTACTATTTTTTGATATGTTAAAAAAGTCCTTAATAAGGATTTTCTATTAATACCAGTTCTTCAGAAAGTCTTCCAAAAAATAGAAGAGGAGGGAATACTTCCCAGCTTCTTCTGTGAGGCTAATACTGTCCTGATACCAATACCAAAGATATCACAAGAAAACTACAAACCAGTATCCCTTATGAATACAGATATAAAAACCCATAACAAAATACTAACAAACCAAATCCAGCAATGTGTACAAAGGATTATATACCATGACCAAGTGAAATTGATTTCAGGAATGATTGATTTAATATCTGAAAATAAATCAGTGTAATACACCGTGTCAATAGAACAAAGGAGGCCAGGCGCGATGGCTCATGCCTATAATCTCAGCATTTTGGGAGGCTGAGGCAGGTGGATCGCCTGAGGCCAGGAGTTCAAGATCAGCCTGGCCAACGTTATGAAACACTGTTTCTACAAAAAATACAAAAATTAGCCAGGTGTGGTGGTGGGCACCTGTAATCCCAGCTACTTGGGAGGCTGAGGCACAGGATTTGCTTGAACCCAGAAGGTGGAGGTTTCAATGAGCTGAGTGGTGCCACTGCATTCCAGCCTGAGCAACAGAGTGAGACTCCATCTCAAAAAAAAAAAAAGAACAAAGGATAAAAGCTACATGTTCATCTCAGTAGAGAAATACAGCATTTGACAAAATCTGATGCCCTTTCATGACAGAAGCATTCAGCTAGCCTGGGCAATATAGTGAGATCCTGTCTCTACAAAAAATTTAAAAATTAGCCAGACATGATGGCATATACCTGTAGTCTCAGCTACTCAGGGGGTGTAGGTGAGAGGATCACTTCCACCTGGGAGGTCAAGGCTGCAGTGAGCTGTCGCCACGTCATTACACTCCAGCCTGGGCAACAAAGTAAGACCCTATCTCAAAAAAAAAAAAAAAAAAGACATTCAACATAGAAGGGGCTGGGGCATGGTGGCTTACCCCTGTAATCAATCCCAGCACTTTGGGAGGCCAAGGTAGGTGGATCATTTGAGGTTGGGAGTTCAAGATCAGCCTGGACAACGTGGTGAAACCCTGCCCCTACTAAAATTATAAAAATTATCTGGGACTGATTGCACATGCCTGTAATCCCAGCTACTTGGTAGGCAGAGGCAGGAGAATCGTTTGAACTTGGGAGGTGGAGGTTGCAGTGAGCCGAGATCATACCACTGCACTCCAGCCTGGACAACAGAGTGAGACTCTGTTTCAAAAAACACAAAACAACAACAACAACAAAAAAAAACAAACAATAAAAGGGAAGTTTCTCAAGCCAATAAAGAGCATCTGCAAAAAGCTCACAGCTACCATTCTCCTTAATGGAGAAAGATGGAGTGCTTTCCTCTTAAGATCAGGAACAAGGCAAGCATATTTGCTTTTGCTTTTGGCACGTTTATGTAACATTGTACTTGATATTCTAGCCAGGGCAATCACTCAAGAAAAAGAAATAAGAGGTATCCAGATTAGAAAGTAAGAAGTAAAATATCTCTATTTGTTGATGACATGAGATCTTGTATATAGAAAATCCTAAGGAATCCTCTAAAAAACAGAACTAAGCAAGTTCAACAATATGGCAGGATATGAAATCGATAAAAATCTATTGTATTTCTATACATTAGCAGTGAATGATCTAAAAATTAAATTAATGAAATGACTCAATTTATAACAACCCCCCAAAAAGTAATAGTTAATAAATTTAACAAAAGAAGTATTGTAAAAGATTTGTGTACTGTGAAAGATTTGTGAAAAAATTGTATAAGATTTGTATACTGAAAACTATAAAAGATTGTTGAAAGCAATTAAAGATTTAAATAAAGGAAAGACATTCTGTACTCATGGCTAGGAAGAATTAATATTAGCCATACTCTCCAACTTGGTCTTTGTATTCAGTGCAATCCCAGTGAAAATCCCAGCAGGTTTTGGGGTTTTCCCCCCGGAAATTGTCAAGCTGATCCTAAAATTCATCCAAGGGAACCAGAATGGCTAAAACAAATCTCAGAGAAAAACAAAGTTGGAAGACTTTCAAATCCCAATTTCAAAGCTTATTACAAAGCTTCAATCATCAGGACAGTATGGTAGTGGCATTAGGATAAACATACAGAGAAAGGAAATAGAATTGAGAGTCTAGAAATTAACCCATACATTTTTAGGAAATTGATTTCAGCAAGGGTGCCAAGGCTATTTAGTAGAGAAACCAGTCTTTTCAAATAGTG